AGAACAAACTTTGTAACCTTGAAATAAGCTGCCCAAGTCTCTATTTTCTGCGTGCTATGAAACCCTTGGTTTGTGGGACCTATTACTGATAAAGTGCATGCCTTTTCTCTTAGCTTTAAATCTAATTGTAAAAATTGAAAGCCTGCGTTTGAACCATCAAAACTGAAAACGTACGCTGACTTATGTCTGCACCCTGCAGGAGCACGCTCCACTGAAAACTCCACGTCTCGTCGCACATGGACACAACAGATACAGGAGTAGAGCAAACTTGATCTCAGGGTTATTCAACTGGCAGCCCGCGGGCCACATCCGGCCCGCAAGTGCCAAAAATTCGGCCCGCCAATTGGTTCATTTATCACTTAAGCCCAAACCCCTGGTTTTCTACTTTATTAAGTTATTTTAGTTAAACATAGACATGTTTGGGATCTACAGAAACATCAAAAATCTTGGCTACAAGCTGGTAAAAACATTTCTATGAAAATTCAAGACAGTTAAAACTACAAGCAGTTGAAGGTAAAACCATGAAAGTGAAAATAAAATTGATTTCAAATTTGGCAAGTCAGAGATGTTAAAATATTATTTGTTAAATAGGAGGCAGAATGTGTGTTTTTTTTTGTTTTTGATGTTGCCTTATTATCACTACTTTCAAAGCGTTCTGTATGTTGTATTCACAATTAAATGCAGCAAAATAAACTAATTCAAAGGTAACAGATCTTTGTAATACTCGGTTTATTTACATAATGACTTTAATTGCTGGATGTTCGGCCCCTCAGCTGTTGACCAGCAGTAACTGTGGCCCCCGGAGAAATTTAATCGAATGGCCCTGTTTTAACCTATCGATACGCACAGATATTTTTTGCTCATGCAAACCAGGATTTTAACCAATAAATCTGCTTTAACATATCAATTTTGGCAGAGTTGAGATGCCAAGCTTGGTAACGCTTTCTTTTACAGTACACTTATTACCATGTAATTACAAGGTAATAAAAAATGTAAGTAAATGAC